AATTAACACTTTCAAAACAATTAATACTGAACAATATAGCACACATGATTTAACATTTAACTCATCGATGGGGCGCTTTAACGCACGCAAGTTGTCAAATGAAGTTTTATTGTAAAATATTGCGAATGGTGCAGTAATTGAAAGTCGATAATCGAATTAATTAACTATGTTGATTGCTGACTGTAATCAGCGAAATGTCGGCGCAGGAGCAGAGTGCCAAAGCGCAGGTGGACAGAACGGCCTCACATTTTACACTCATTTATTTACAGATAGGGTTGTCACAGCAGATGCGCGAGGAGAGACGTGTTGCAAACATAACGAGTTTTAGATATCAATGTTTTATTGCTTAATTTTGTTTTTTAATTTTTAAGTATTGATAAAGGTCATAACACACAGGGCTGCTTCGACTGACAATTTGTTTTAGAATAGACAAAAGTACAGAGTATTCTATGTTACCGAAATAAATATTACCTATATTAATATTTAAGAAAAAATTTTTTTACAATAAATTAAGCAAACCGACCTAAAATTGTTTTCTATCACAGTGAAACATATTATGAATACAACCAATAATTCTATTGATTTTGTAATCTCATACCGTTCATTAATGACTTAATTATTTTCAAAAGGCTACATTTTAGCTTAGCCTATTTCCGTCAGTGTCACGGTGGAGATAAAAAATAAGAAAATTGGCAAATTGGAACACTTTCTGTTTTATATACTTCCGTATAGGGAAAAATAAATAAATATTTATATTGTATTCCGTTCTATATTATAATATAGAACTAAATATGTGTGTAGGTAAGAAGAAAAGACAGTAAAAGTAAAAAATACATTGGAAAATGTGAATGTAAGTAATAGTTGGTGCAGGTTAGGATTGCATACTTGTAACTCAAACTGGTCGGTTCTAGCAAGAGCGAGCTGTCCAACAAATTACTAAAATATTTTTTTGTCGCAAAAAAAACAACAACAAACCTTTGAGTACTCTTCCATATTACAATAGACCAAGGTGATCTAGTAGTTTGTTCAAAAGTAAAAAGGTATTAAATTAATATGAAAACGTAATTGTCTATGCATAAATTATGCAATACACAGTTAGTATTAATAGTTGCAATATTATGAACCCTACTTGAGATCTAAATGACTCAATTTACAATCTAAATATAAAATAACTGATGTACATTAATAATCAAAATAAAATCTAGTAATTTTTGCGTATAGTGCTTACTAATGTCTACCATTTTTTAAAAGGTATAAAGGTACAAAGGACTTGCCTTTGTACCTATGAGAGGTAACAGAAATCTTTTATTTTACGCAAACAAATTGAAAAACGAAAAAAATATGATTTTTAAAATCCAACACACATCTCCTAATGGCCGACCTTTATGCAGTTTTGAATGTTTTGTTTTATTTATTCTGTACTTCAATGTCAACTTTCCCTACCAAGCTAAGTGAACAGTCACGACTTCTGTAACTTTTAACAAGCGTTTTCATATGGTTTTTGAATTTATAACCCATATTCACTTCTTCACTACTAATGAAAGGTACTTAATAGGTTTTTCTTTACAAAACTAACTAAGATTGCGCTTTACATTGTATTCACTTAGTATTGTTGACGTAAGTAAACAGTTATCAAGTCGTTTCGCATCAATTCGGCGTTTAATTATTGTTGCCACTGCGTTTTTTATTGCAATTTCCGTATAAGACGCAACTGCAATTTATTTGATTACATCCAATTGCAAGTTGATGTTTAAACCATTAAAAATTGTAAGCACAGCCGTAGATAGAAAGAAATTGCTATGAATGCCAACTCTTCCTGTGTTTATCGTACTTTCTTGCCAACGTTCAATACGGAAATGTAAAAAACTGAACTTTCGATTCACTGATTGTAGAGAATATGTGGTTTTTGTGACTCGATAAATGTGCAATAACGTTCTGGATAACAAAAAGGTGATTCAGATAATGATCATCTATTATTATGGGAGTTATTTCCAATGAACATCTACATACTTAACAAGCCAGTGATAAGCTCAATAGTGGTCATTCCTTTTGATAGTGAAAGAATCTTTTGTTTCCTTTTCCTTTTCAAACGAACGGCACAACAGGCGTGACATATTTGCATATGTGATGACTGTTCTACCATTCGCTTTTTGACCTGGCTTCTTTCTCTATTCATGAAAACATCTACTAACATTCCCTTTTACTGTTTCGAATAAATACAAGCATGCGAAAAAAATACGATGAACCAGTAAAATTCCTCAGTACCAATTTACACATTGTCAGAATAGTTACAAATCATCACGGTATTTTCTTATGCATATATTTATTGTATGTAGATAATAATCATTAATAAAATTGAACAATGTTACAACGCATAGGCGCGAACATACAAGAGATTCGCAAATTGACTGATCCCTCTCCACCCTTAACATAAACAGGCAAATCCTTACTTAATTTCAGTCACAGAATTCAATCACAACGTAAAGCTTTGTACCCCAGCGAGTAATGTTATAATGCCTTACATTATCCCCCTTCATACAACCAAATCGTGGCGACACCGTGCCGAACCTTTAATTATTATAAACACATCATTTTCATGGCACTTTCTAAAATATTAGGGTTGCCAAGCCATGTTTGATTACATCGATTGTACTTTTGCATCAGCCAGCAATTAAATGTAAGCATCTCAGTTGTGGAAATATTTAATAACCGTTGATCCAACGATCTAATATTACTTTATTACAAACATTTCTGTGCTCTGCAGACCATATCAGGCTGATAACGTTTAGCAATACTTTGCACGTCTAACAGTCGAATTATACTTTATTGATGACTATGTAATCTACAAGATGAACTGCACCGTAATAGCCATTTAAATATACCTTTAACCATAATCACGTAACCGAGTCGCATCGTGGAATGAGCAGTCGCATAGATTTGGCGCCTCAAGATAAACATCGGTGGGTAACCCTTTCAACGATCACGTGGGCCGACACATCCCTTTCACGCATTTCATATTCCTATTTCCATTCCGTTCAACCTTCACAGGAGGATTATATTCTGCCTCCGATGTTTTCGTATCCTATTATTTCACAGGGTGAAAATTGGCCACCCGCCTCCTCACTCACTCAGTCAAAATTTAACACCCTTAGTATACATGTGTGACGTGTATGGATTACCGACGCACCTGTGTGAGTGCACCTTCCTATGACTATTTTTTGATGTGTGTGTTTGTTTCATCAACTGTAAACCACTGTCAACGACTCGTCAAAATAATATTGGCTTAACGCCGGATCCCGTACAGATATGGTACATGGAAACTTGATACATGCACGAATTTAATTAGAATGGCTTTAATGTTATGGATGATGGAATATTACGTAACAAAATTATTAGGCTCATATGATTATAGTAATAATATTCTACCACATTCACATAATGCCATCTAGTCCCAAACTAAGCAGAGTTTGTACTATGGCTACTCGACAAGTGACTTAAATACATATATACTATTTTTTGTAAATACATACTCATTATACATGAAACACCCAGACCAAATCAAACATAAAATGTTCATGCACACAAATGTTTGACCTGAACAGAAATCGAACCCGCAACCTTTGGAATCAAGTCGTCATTTCATATCATTGTCTTAACTGCCATATTGAGACTTTTACATAGATTGGGAGAGTATTTTTAATTAAATTAAATGCAAAACTATAAAGTTTGATACGACCTCAACAAAACAAATTTAATTTGACAGATTCCATGAAAATTCTTTCAATATTATCGTTTCAACATCACGTATCAAGATTGTTCAATTTACAAACAAGATATCGTAAAGTTCGAATTTCAAATTGAACCCCTGCGAGACTCATCCATCTTCTCAATAATTGTAAAATAATTATCACTAACTAAGCACAGATGAGTTATAAAACGCAAGAAATGATACGAAACACAAATGGAAAACGAACGAGGGTTAAACCGGGAACAAAAAATATATCTTGTTTATGAAACATGCAATAAGCACAAAACAAAGCAATGCTTATTTCTGCCATGAGAGTGTTTCGAATTGCAAATTTCGGGAAAAAAGCGAACAAACTACACTCAAAGTCAAATGCGGCAGTGCGCGATAAGCAAGTGCCGCTTATGCAAGATCACGAATGTAATTGCTCCCTTGTCTGGCACGACACTTCATGGAAAAATGAAACAGTAGATATGAAATGTTGGAGTGAAAAAGAGACGTAAACTAACAGTATCAACAAAGCCTTAAGCGGCAAAAATGATTGATTGCTAGCCGTCTTGTGCTGAGCTCTATTTAATCACTTTATTCCCTTTTCTCCGTTTGTGTTGGGATAATTTTGTATTTGTGTAATTTGTATACGAAATGAGGAGGCATACCTCCCGACAAGACGGGGATTCATATCCGGCGCCTATCCGGAGCTTACACAAACCCGATTTTGATGTTATCACATGTCATGGTACCGTTTGTTTTGATTTATATTACAAAGCCAGATTAAGTTGAGATTAATCTCTAGGTTAATAACTTCGTTTAATTCGCGTGTCAAGGCATTATGAGAACATTTAAAATACGATTTGATAAACGTTTTATAAAAAATTGGTCAGCTAATAAAAATACTTGTAAGCAGTTCTTCTTTCTGTTAAGAATAATATTGCTATCACATACATATATGACAAGTATAAATTAAAGAAATGAAAAAATATTTATCTTCGTATACGTGTTTTCGCTGTCGGATAGTTAGTTCAAAATATTTTGTCTTTATCAGTCAGTAAAGATATCTCAACACTGAATAATGATTAGTCTACTTCATAAAAACAAGATAAAGTTTTCAATTTTAATATGCATCAACGATGAGGCTTGTAGTTTGGCCTGATTAAAACTAAGTCTGACCATTTAAAGGGCAACCACCAGTTTTGATATAAAACAGTGTTACAGGACAGACACCTTCGTGGATTTAAATAAAAAAAGGGAATCTTACCACTCATATGTCCGTTTTCATAAGGTGAATATTCTCCGTTCTCGAGGCGGTGCTTCTTGAAGGGATGTCCCGGGAATTGCGTCGCGGCCAGAGATAATCCGACTCCTGACGCGCGTTTCGGTGGTCGGCCCGGTCTAGAGCTGCGGACATAGTAGCACGTTACTGTGGTTAAAGACCTTGCACTTAACCTAACACTTTGGATAATCTACTTTACAAGAGCCACATGATGTGGAAGGGGCTCAGTGGGGGCTTTTCAAAGAATGAGTTGGACTCGGCCCCACTCATTCAGTGAAAAGTAACAAATGTATTAGCTAACATCGGTTTTCTGTGAGGCCGTGGTATCACTCTGATCTAACTGCCTATGTCATGAAAAATGACTCTCCCACGATACTACTAAATAAAATCACATTATTATTCGAAACTCAAAAATAGCCATAAGAAAGTGTGGCACAATAGGAAACAGTTATTGTTTTATCGATTTATACTTATGTATCTTGAGATAGCAATCGTGTGAAAAAATTGAGATTGCATTGATTAAGATACAAACTATCGCACACAAAAGCACTCATAGAGGTAAAGTAAGGAATCGATCAATCGCATCCACGCAATCCACTGTTACAAGTGGTTCATTCATTATCATTTATTACTCAAAGCAAATTCTCATAACAACAACAAAAGAACAATAACTGATATACACATTAATTAAATTCAATTAAGAGTAGGTAACGGGAGCTTCTCATGCGCTATCTATGTGGTTATCAAATAAATCTCATAGTCGCGTGGGGTTGCCACAGATTTATTTTTATTTATTTCACTCCCCTAAGATTTAATACCCGTAAGACGTCGGCCGCAGTTTCCACAATTTCACGCTTATTGTTTTCCCATCCCTGATTTATGTTCACGTAATAGACAACAGTATTTCTTGGACGCAATAAAGTTTGTCACCTAAATCTTTACCCTTAAGCCTATTGCGTACTTACAAACCTAAAACTTATTGTTTATCTGCACAGTGGACTCCAGTGTTATAAAGTATTAATCAGAGCTTTGCAAAAATTGAAGTTTATAGAATTTTAATCATGCCTCAAAAACAAACACCTGTTAAAAATGTATTTAAAAAAAAAATACATACAGTGGAACATAGAACCTCCTCCTTTTTTGAAGTCGGTTCAAAATGAGTTACTTATATGAGTTAACTTAGACAAATTGACTTACTGATTCCAGAGATTTCTCAGTTAGAAAAAAGATCTCACTTTACAAATGTTTATCGTAATTTTCTGATAATTTACCTAATATACTTTTTCATTTTTACAAGCGCTTACAATTATGCATTGCCCTGTCTCATTGCCAGAAATGGAGCTCTAGTTACAGGTAACTAGAGCTCCATTTCTCATGTCGTAGCTCCTGAGCTACGACATGTATGACTAAGCTATGTATGACTACTAAAAATATTACTTATTTTCATTAGATATGTAGAACACAGAAGTTTTACAAACGAAATTGGGCTCAATTGATTATGTTACCCACTCGCTCATGTGTTTGTATTATCGCTATTCCATTAAAGAAAACAGTAGTTTAAATCTAATAAATTAAATGTATCAAGTCTTGGTTTTATTTACTGATTCAGATTTCACTTACTAAAGTTAAAATGTGTATAATAATAATCAAAATTTAACAACCATATACTTAATTTAAATAATTTAATATTTAATCTTTACGATCATTCTTAATTATGTCACAAATATAATTATTGTCTCTGCAAGTTAGTCTATTAGGACTTTCACACAAAGTTAGTTTATGTTTTTCAACATTTTTCTGGTGTATTTTACTACGAAATCTGATGTCTTCTTGACTTTTCAAGCTAATGATATAGTAAGCAACCAGTAACAAGCGTCAATATAGAAAACAAGTGTCAATATAAGTCTGTATAAGAAGAAAGTTTCATGTTAATATTTTAACGCTCAACATGTCTGGTTTTATATATTGATTTTTTTTTTTTTATATTTGAATATTTAATCTTTACGATCATTCTTAATTATGTCACAAATATAATTATTGTCTCTGCAAGTTAGTCTATTAGGACTTTCACACAAAGTTAGTTTATGTTTTTCAACATTTTTCTGGTGTATTTTACTACGAAATCTGATGTCTTCTTGACTTTTCAAGCTAATGATATAGTAAGCAACCAGTAACAAGCGTCAATATAGAAAACAAGTGTCAATATAAGTCTGTATAAGAAGAAAGTTTCATGTTAATATTTTAACGCTCAACATGTCTGGTTTTATATATTGTCTTACTACCTTTAAAAGGATAACTTTATACATGCAACTACAGGTATAAATTAAGCCACTGCTGTAGATCTGTGCAACCAAGAAAAGAAGCATTGACACACACATAATATATGACAGGCAGACCAGCTAGGGGAAAATTATTTGGGTCATTATTTTGTACAATCTTAGTAGTTCAAGAATTGCGGATAAAGTAAGACCAATTACAGTACGAAGTAATCCGCACTACATTACACTAGGTATTACATCAGAGGCGTCGGCCAAGTTCGGCAATTATCGGGGGAGCGATGCTGTTATCATAGTATCGGCTTACGCAGAAACTGAGTCTCGCCTATTTATTTTTATGTCAGCAACCGTCATTATGAGACACTCCATTAGCTTGGATTGCGGTGAGACTCGTTTTCGGTTACGCTTTGGGGTGCGATTGTATGGTATGACGATTTTTTCTTCGTTGTCATGTTCAGATAAAGGGTTTATTATTATGATATGATCAATTCTATTTGCCGACGTCTCAACATTACACAAACAAGAAATTACAACCAAGAGCAGAATGATTAATTTAGATCGTCTGTCATCTCAAAAGTATACAACGACCACCGAGGAACAATTAAAATCTACAGAGTATAAATAGTTCGAATAGACTTGAAAAAACTCCATGGTCATAATGGTATTTATTTTGGGTGCAGACAAGTACAGACGGGAGCAAAAAAAGTTTAACATAACCGCGCCCGCGACGAAATCGAATATTGAAAGTGTCGAGGGACAGAGATAAGGAGAGCACGTGCCGCTCCCTTGCCGCCACTTAGGCCATACCCGTAATCTGAATACCGCAAAGCTCACTGCGATAAACACCATTAAAAACGTTCGATTTATTACTGAACGATTTCCGAACGATTTATACGGGTGTGCGAAGTCAAAAGAGTATGATATAACAGAGGGTCCATAAAGGGTACAAACATAAAAAACATGCAATAAACATTCGAAATACGAATTAACAGATATTCCAATGACGGATGCTTATTATTATTATACAACTTGAATACAAAACTATATACGACAATAAAAATATTAGAATCATGCTTTTGGCAGACAGTAAAAACATATTTTATTTCAATTTAAATATTACGTGGCACTATTTTTTATAAATATGCTTCTAAAACCCAAATATCAGAAATGAATCCATTCTGCACAACTTGCTCTCTCCTCTAACCAACCCTAGTGAAACTAACACCACATATAGTTTTGCTTTTTGTATATTTGCTTGGCAATATTCATCACTCACAGCCCGTGTCACTGATCAAATAGCACCCACAAAGGAGTCCCCAGATATTTCTGACAGATATACCCTTGATAGATAGTTTTACAAACACAACAAATAAATCGCATTATACTTTTTACATGAAATAAAAATTCTTAAAACGTGAAATAGCTAAAGAAAAATCAATACGAACATAACCACTCCTCACTTCATTAAAAAATTGGATCTCAAACACGTGATACAAGTAGTATCAACATTGAGCGTATCGACACAAGAATAGACTCCCCAGTCTTTGTTATTTTATTTGTATTACTATTCTAAACTTTTAGTGGACGTGTTCACACTCACTAATAATTACTGACACTATATCATAACATTCACGTGGCATAAACATCCTTGACTACGCGGCAACAGTTTAAAAAAAAACTAAAAGACCAAAAACAACTCGCTGACAGCCTATTGTAAGCTAATAGTCATAATGTGTATATTTTTTGCTTTTGTTACTGAAGCGGCTGATTATTTACACGTTTCAGTACTACAGACCGTATGGGAATGTTTACACATTAATTTAAAAATCTTTAAACGTTTTTTTATGTCTTATATTTTAAAACCATTAAGAGAAGTTAATCTTATTTTAAATAGCAAGCTGCCAAACCTTTCTTACATTCACCAGGATGCTGTTTTTATTTGGTATTGCTGTTCGTGTGTTACCTGGATTAATTCTATTACTTAGTTCCAATATGCAGAATTACATATTTACTTCGAGAGAGTCTCATAAAAATTGTAAACTTCCAATAGTATCTTATGAAGATCAGACCGATGAATTTATATTTCTTTAGGCGATACAAAATCATAAATACACCTACTGCATGTACCTATTTTTAATCTCCCATAATGTGAGTACATCGGATTTAATTAGATTGATCAGAACAGTTTTAATGATTACTAATAGTGATATAAAATCTTTGTAGATTAGGTTTATAATTTCCTAAACAGTGGTCACAATGCGTTCTACCTATATGTCATACAGTCTTCTATTAATCTGCAAAATAAGTGTACAAAGTTATTACATAAATAAAAAAGGGCCGCAAAGTCCACCGTTTGACAAGTAGTATACTACAAGTCATTTTTTAAACTATGTATACCCTAAACTCTCAAAGTTTTAATGGTAAATAATGATACCGCGTCACTGTCAAAAGCTGGCCGAGCAATCAGTTAACCACCTCAGCAGACTCAGGATATAATTTGAACGCATAATCATTTCAAAAACGTCTTTGATGTATTATTTCCCCTTTAAATTGAAAGCGTCTTAAATACCATATCTGGATATTCCACTAAACAATGAGCCTCTGTCTTAAAAATGGCCCAAGAATCAGTAGACAAGGTAAAACAAACGCATGTAATCTTATCTAATGTAAACTCAAACGCAGTAGCAGTTTGTCTTGGGTTCAGTGCAAACATGATAAATGATTTCGGTTCAAAAATTTGTTCTATTTTTTTCTAAACGAGTTCCGGTTGAAGCTAGATGTGTAATCTTTCCTTGAATAGAAACACCTATTCACCTTGAGAAGTACCTGAGGAAGAAGAGAGGACCGAATTATTGATACGTTTGATTTAATCATTTTGACACTACAATATAGAGTATGTATAGACTGTCTACAATGAAATATATACTACATTCGTACAATACCGTTCCAAATGATAATAAAGTTTCATCATTAAAAACAATGATTTAATAAAACCAAAGGAAAAATCTAATTGAAGCCAAAAATTAGAGCCACTAAGACAGTAACAATAAAAAGTGAAAGCAAAGCCGCGTTTAATTGTGTCGTAAAAATAAAAATTAAATAAAAAATGCTTTAGGGTGGAAAAGTTTTGCGACCGTAATTCTGGCCTACAATTATATCATGTTCTGTAAGAGCAATGTTCTCCTAATGTTACCTGTCCCAGGAGTGAGGGGCATCTTTTTAAATTATTAAAATTTTGCTTCTTTACACTCTACTTTTAGATTCAAATGCATTAACATTATTAAATTTATTACGCGTAGTAACAAAATTTATATACCACTTTATAATTAACTGTTTGTTGGACTATTGATTTCAATGAATTATTAAGACAATAATTTATTACGTATGACATATAAATCTAAAAATTATAATCAACATCATAAACAAATGAATGCTACATCGCAAACCGTACGTTGTATAAGAAAAACTTTATTACATTAAAATAAACTATCAAATCCAATATTAACATTATTACATAATGATATTTTCTACTGTATTATTTTATATTAACAGGAAAAGAATAAAATAAATAATGTTGTAACGATTAAATTTTTTATACATAAGCAAAGAGATTAAACGTTGCGCGTTGCGGATCTATTAAGCTGGTCCTTGGTTTAATAACACTGTTCTATCTGACAGTACAATCACAACTTAATATAGCAAGTCACCGCAATAGTCAGGTAGCTGGTACGTTTCAATTTCTCCAAGGCATTTTATTTACAAAACTAATTACGTTTGTCTGATAGGGTATTAAATAGCTCCCGGTGCTTCAGTTGATTCGTTGACAGTTAATAAAGACATTCCAAACGTATTTAAGATATAACCTACTCTACATCGGTGATCACATCGCTTCGTCTTATTATAGTGTTTATTTTATTTTATATATTTCTGAATACGATTGTACTCCTCTGTTAATCATGTTCAATATAAAATGTCTTATTAGCGATAGAATTAGATATGTACATAAAAATAT